GCTGGCCATCCTGCTATGGGGGTTTGGGGGAGTTGTAGTCCAGAAAAAGCACAATTTCTGAGCTCCACAGCTGACCCCTCAGTTCTGTAACTCAGCCTTAAGTAAAAGCTCTGACAGTGAACAAACAGGGAAGGACCATAAGCAGCTGGATAGAGATGAAGAAGCAGACATTACAGAGGAGAACAACAGGGAATGTTCTGTTCCCAGTGCATTTTGATGGTACTATTATCAAGTGAAATAGTATGAAAAAAGTCCTTCGTAAATCTGCCAGGCAAAGCTACAATGTTCCAATAACATGAAACAATCTAGCTGTTCAAAAACAGTGTTTCTCCTGAAATTAATATCACACTGCATGTGGCAAGTTGGAAGCAACAGACTGATGCAATTTCGTTTTCGTAAAATTCCAGAATCCCCTTAGAAGTTACCACAGCACTCATGTTTTGCTTTTGTTTTTTGTTTTTTTAAAAAAGGACCAAGAAGGTGTTCTCCTGTTCCAAGCAATGATCTGTGTCAGATAAAAGTCCAAAGCACTGGTAGACTCTCTTTCTTTGAGGGAATCAACATGCCAAAATATTAACCATGAAGAACTGATAGAACTTTATCAGTTCTATGAGTTAGCATATAGGGTCAAATCCAATTGTTACTCTCAACAAGATTAGACCTACTGAATGAGCAGGATTTACAAAGCCAACCCTTCTTTATTGTTGCATTTATATCTTGCCTTTCCTTGGTGAGCTCAAGGCAACATACATGGTTCCCCTCCTTCATACTTTATTCTAACAAAAACCCTGTGAAGGAGTATAAGAAACAAATAAGAAACAAACTCTTGTGATAACTTTGAGACTAACGAGTTTGTTTCAACATGAGTTTTTTTGGATTACTAATTACTTTCTCAGATGCATGTGAGAAAATGGATTGTAATCAATGAAAATTAATGTTCAATAAATTTGTTTTCAGTAGTGTCAGAAGACTCTGGGCCCGTTGTAGTCCGATTTCCTCATACATGGTGAAATTGACTAGCATGATGAAACTGACTAACATACTTCTCTGGAAATTCCTGTGAGGCAGATTATCCTGTGAGTTTCATGCCCAAGTGGGGGTTTGAAGGCAGGCCTCCTAAGCCTACTTCCAACATTCACACCACTACCTCAACATGAGATGACTTGTTTGATTCAAAGAGTCTATCCTAGATGAGAGTAATGAACAAAGTTAGTGTTTGTTGTTGCAACAAACAAACAAACAAACCTGACCAAGGATAGATGTGACTGCCATTACCCATTTTTATACAAATTCTCTTGGCCAAGAAACTAAGTTACTCTTATTGACCAGCAGCTATCAACAAAGACAGAGAAGCCCAAACAAGGGAGAAAGGTGGAGTGGGAAAGCTACCAGTCCTACCTCACAGAATTGAAAATGCACACTCCCATTTGTCACAGGCCATGCTAGTGAGCTTCAATACGAATCCAAGGCAGACCTTTCAACATCACAGTCATCCAAGTTTATGCACCAACCACCGATGCTGAAGAAGCTGAAATTGACCAGTTCTATGAAGACTTAACAACACCTTCTAGAACTGAGACCAAAGAAACATGTTCTTGTCATTATAGGTGATTGGAATACTAAAGTAGGGAGTCGAGATAAAAGGAAAAACAAGTCAGTTTGACCTTGGAGCTCAAAACGAAGCAAGGCAAAGGCTAATAGAGTTTTGTCAGGAGAACACAAACACTCTTTTCCAACAACACAAGAGGCGACTCTACACATGGACATCACCAGATGGGCAATACCGAAATCAGATTGATTATGTTCTCTGCAGCCAAAGATGCAGAAGCTCTATAAAGTCAGCAAAAACAAGACCTGGAGCTGATTGTGGCTCTGGTTATCAGCGTCTTATAGCAAAGCTCAAGCTTAAACTGAAGAAAGGAGGAAAAACTACTGGCCTAGTCAGGTATAATCTAGATAAAATCCCTTATGAATACACAGTGGAAGTGAAAAACAGATTTAAGGAACTAGGTTTGGTGGACAGAGTGCATGAAGAACTATGGATAGAGGCTCGTAACAATGTACAGGAGGCAGCAACAAAAACCATCCCAAAGAAAAGGAATTGCAAGGAAGCAAAGTGGCTGTCCAACCAGGCCTTACATATAGCGGAGAAGAGAAGGGAAACAAAATGCAAGGGAGATAGGGAAAGTTACAGAAAAGTCAATGCAGAGTTCCAAAGAAAAACAAGGAGAGACAAGAGGGCCTTCTTAAATGAACAGTGCAAAGGCATAGAGGAAAATAATAGAAAGGGGAAAAATCAGAGATCTGTTCAAGAAAATTGGAGATATTAAAGGACAATTTTGTGCAAAGGTGGACATGATAAAGGACAAAAATAGAGGGGACCTCACAGAAGCAGAAGATATCAAGAAGGGGTGGAAAAATACACAGAGGAATTATACCAGAAAGAGCTGGATGTCCCAAACAACCCAGATAGTGTGTTGCTGACCTTGAACCAGATATTCTGTAAAGTGAAGTCAAGTGGGCCTTAGAAAGCATAGCTAATAACAAGGCCAGTGGAGGTGATGGCATTCTAGTTGAATTATTTAAAATCTTAAAAGATGACGCTGTTAAGGTGCTACACTCAATATGTCAGAAAGTTTGGAAAACTCAGCAGTGGCCGGAGGATTGGAAAAATCAGTTTACATCCCAATCCCAAAGAAGGGCAGTGCCAAAGAATGATCCAACTACCGTACAACTGTACTAATTTCGCACGCTAGCAAGGTTATGCTCAAAATCCTACAAGGTAGGCTTCAACAGTATGTGGACCGAGAACTCCCAAAAGTACAAGCTGGATATTGAAGGGGCAGAGTAACTAGAGACCAAATTGCTAACATGTGCTGGGTTATGGAGAAAGCCAGAGAGTTCCAGAAAAACATCTCCTTCTGCTTCATTTACGCAAAAGCCTTTGACTGTGTGGACCACAGCAAACTATGGCAAGTCCTTAAAGAAATGGGAGTGCCTGACCACCTTATCTATCTCCTGAGAAATCTATATGTGGGACAGGAAGCAACAGTTAGAACTGGATATGGAACAACTGGTTGGTTCAAAATTGGGAAAGGAGTACAAGGCTGTATATTGTCTCCCTGCTTATTTAACTTACATGCAGAATACATCATGCAAAAGGCTGGACTGGAGAAATCCCAAGCTTAAGATTGCTGGAAGAAATATCAACAACTTCCGATATGCAGATGATACCACTCTGGTGTGAGGAGGAAGTAAAGAACCTCTTAATGAGGGTGAAAGAGGAGAGCGCAAAAAATGGTCTGAAGCTCAACCTCAAAAAGATCATGGCCACTGGCCCCATCACCTCTTGGAAAATAGAAGGGGAAGGTATGGAGGTAGTGATAGATTTTACTTTCTTGGGCTCCATGATCACTGCAGATGGTGACAACAGCCACAAAATCAAAAGATGCCTGCTTCTTGGGAGGAAAGCGATGACAAACCTTGACAGCATCTTAAAAAGCAGAGACATCACCCTGCTGACAAAGGTTCACATAGTCAAAGCTATGGTTTTTCCAGCAGCGATATATGAAGTGAGAGCTGAACCATAAAGAAAGCTGATCACCGAAGAATTGATGCTTTTGAATTGTGGTTCTGGAGGAGACTCCTGAGAGTCCCCTGGACAGCAAGGAGATCAAACCTATCCATTCTGAAGGAAATCAACCCTAAGTGCTCACTGGAAGGACAGATCCTGAAGCTGAGGCTCCAATACTTTGGCCATCTCATGAGAAGAGAAGACTCCCTGGAAATGCCCCTGATGTTGGGAAAGTGTGAAAGCAAGAGAAGAGGACAACAGAGGATGAGATGGTTGGACAGTATCATTGAACATGAGTTTGTCCCAACTCCGGGAGGCAGTGGAAGACAGGAGGGCCTGGCATGCTCTAGTCTATGGGGCCACAAAGAGTCAGACACGACTTAACGACTAAACAACAACAACATGTTAGTGAGCATTCCAGTCTTTTACATGTGCTCAGGCTGGAGGCGGACGATTTCAGGGTTTAATAAAATGGTATGCTGCAAGCATTACTGTCTATGGTATACGTATACATTCATAAATTTTGACCTGCTGTTTTCCTTAGTCAAAGAAGTGCTGTAGATGTAGAAGCACTGTGAAAACCTGCAAACCTATTTAATCAGGATAATAATCAAATGAGCATGCACACCATGAGCAATCAGAATGTGTCCATTGCTCTCCAGGAAATACTTTTTGTTCCCACCCAAATAATTTCTACTTCCTTTAGTAAGGCTGGAGTCAAAAAATCTGCATAAGCATGGAAACAAGAGTGAGTGCAGCATATTTTTCTCAACTTTTTCCTTCCCTCTGGCTTTTTTTTTGGCTTCACGGCAAGCTCTGCTTCCTTTTTCCTTGCAACTCCCCCCCTCCAATTCACCTTTGCCCTTCAAACTGACACACATACCATGTTTACCAGAGCTTGGGAAAGTGACATTTTGGGGTCACAGCTCCCAAAATCTCTCTTCACACAATACTTGCCCTTAAACAACTCTGCAATTCCAGCAGTCCAAACTGCTACCCCCTTAGGGACACCAAGAGAGCAGCCTCGAGTGGGTGGGGTGGAGTGACGTGCTTCCAAAAGCCCTGCTAGTTTGCACAGGAAGTTATGAAGGGAGAGAAGTTTTCATTTTTGTTTCTAATCTTCCAAATGAAAGATAAGGGGAAGTTCTCGATGAGATACTCTAGTGAGGGGGCCTATTATAGGAATCCTCAAGAGTTTGGAGCTGTTTTGGTTCCAAGGGATCCTAAATAGTTGCCAGGCTCCATGCCAGCTACTATTGGCAGAAACAGTACCAGTATCTGTTTTCCATGGCAGAACTGGGATGCTACTGGGGAGAGCAGAGCATCCCCTTCCCCCCAGTAGCAGATCTGTGCCCGTGGAAGGCCACCTTCCTTGCATCCTCCCTCATTTCTCAGGTTATGACTGCTCTGAGAGTTTTGCACTTACCTAATCTAAGAAGTATGCTGGACACTTCTGCTAATTTGCCACCGGGAACAGGCACACTGTGCTCAGGCTTGTTCCAGCCAATGCCAGCCCGAATCAGCCTGGAGTGGATATAGTCTCTGCAGAGCACCTTGGCCTGAGACACAAGCTCCTTGTCAGTGGGGGTCCGGTCAAACACTTCCATCACCTCTGCAGCGAAGACAGAAGAGCGGCGCAGCATTTCCATCTTCATCACCTCTCCCTTCTCTCAAACATGCAGGGTGGATCTGTCATGAGGAATGCCTTGGTGAGATACCTTGAGAGCAATTCAGAATGATTCATTGGGATCACAATTCACAGCTTCTCCTCCCATAGAGACTCTTTTTGGCTACCTTGCTGATAAAGAATAGGAATGAATGAATTACAGAAGCTACAAGTGGATATACAGGCTTCACTACTTATCAAGAGGAACTGATGTCAACTTTAGCAGTTAGCCCTATTTTATACTAGGAATGCATTTAAAGGAGAACAATCTTAGTTACTCTTAAGTCCTAATTCATTCACAGACTCATGTATCTTGGAATGCCTCCTTCCTGCCCCTTGCAAAAAAAGTACATACATCTTCTCTTATCAAATAAATAATATTATATTTGTAATTTTGTGTATGTGATTTAAATCTATCTAAAATGTGAATTAGATATTTGCAATCATTGATACTAATTGTATGATTTTTAGGGCAAAATATAAAATAAAATAACTATTCTGGATTCCAAAGAATGCATTGTAGGCTTCCAGACCCCTGGAAGTACAAGTTCAACATACATTTTGCAAGCTTTATTATACTTTACTGAGAATCCATAACCCTTTTAAGATTAGACAACATTGTGATTTAATTTCTACCGGACCAAATACAGCATGAATCAGGAAGTAATGGTGGAAGTCAGACACTTCCATCTAGTTCTCCATTAAGCAAAATGAAGAGTTTTGAAAGAGGGAGCTGTGCCAGCTTGTTTCAGCATATATAACAAAAAAAAATTATTGTGGCACCTTTATGGCTAACAGATTTATTTCAGTGTGAGATTACATGGATTATAATCTACTTTCTCAGACACAAATTTATGCTTTAAAAAGTGGCCTGTAATCCATTAAACCTCACAATGAAATAAAGCTGGTCTCAGATGCTACAACTCTTTTGTTTTTTTTTATTACAAAGCAGTGAAGAAATTAAAATAGAGTTTCTGTACCTTTGTTCAATCACAATCCAACAGGGGTTGTGACTGAGAAGTCAGAAGAACACTAAAACTAGAAAGGGCAGCTATAAGGAACTAGGGGGAAAATCCTCAAGAGCAAGGTTGTGTCACTGGAGACCAAGATCATCCATACTATGTTTTTCCTGTCTACTATGTATGGACATGAATGCCGAACAATGAGGAATGGTTGCACAGAGAAGATAACTAAATTCATTTTAAATTGTGTGTCAGATGAGAAGTTTATAGATATCCTAGATCACCAGAAAGGAAAATAAGTGGGCATTAGATCACATCAAACTTGAAATCCATCTAGAAGCAAAACTGCAGCTGTCATAGTCTGGAGATGGATTGACTCAATAAAGGCTTGAGTCAGGGCTGTTAATTATATGACCTGTTGCAGGTCCCTCATTCACAGAGTTGAGGTAAGAAAGAAGTAACTTGATGCCATAAAACAACAAGAAAGCACCAATAAGACAGCAAATCCAAATGGCATTGGCATCAGGAAGAAATCTGCATAATAAATCATATTACGCTCTCAGCAAATTCATGATTGTCTCGGAGACAAGGTTCACAAGATATTATCTACCTGATCTGCAAAATAGACACAATCGTACCAGGCTTCAGATTAAAGGATGGGGTGGAAAAGAAGCCCAAAGCCTTTTTCTGTGGTGTAGTACAGTATAGACAAAGAATCCTTGGTCTTCCTTGAAATTAGCCCATGATGGTTCACATTCTCCACTTTTTTTCAGGAAAAAAAACGGCACTGCATCTGAGCTGATTCCCAGCACAAAGCCATATTTACTACCGCACCAGATATTCTTAACAAAACAACCCATTCAATAAGCCTGGGATCCTGGCTTAAAACACAGAGAAGCGGAAGGGGGAGGAAAGTATGGCTGGGTGACAGAAAACACACCCCAAAAGCAAAAAGACAACAGGCTCAGCCACTGGCATCACCAGTTTAAAATATGCACAAATATTCCCACATGAACTGGATTGTCAGGGGAAATTAATTGGGCAGGCTCACAAATCCTAAGAGGAGGACCAAGAGGGATCACGGAGGCTTCTTTAGAAGAAGCTGGATTTTAACCCAGGCCTTTTTTGCATCAAGCTGCATCAGTGTTACAAGACCACTACCTTGTAAAAGCTTGCTTTTCCAGTCAAACTGATGCCAGGAAAATTCTTTTCAATCCTTAAGAGGAAAAGCAGAGCAACCCTAACCTAGCAAAGCATAACCTCAAGACCTGCACATACCCGAGCATCAAAAAAATGAGGTTGAGAAACACTACTGGGTCCAAGGTGGGGGGGGGGAGTTCGGGGGTGTCGCCCTCCCTTCTTTCGTGCTGGGGCATCCCAGAATCACCTGGACCCGATTTCGGTGGGACCTGCAAGAAATGCGCCCTATAAGGTCATTCCTCCTTCTGGACAGAAACGTGGTGTCAGGCGGCGCTGCGATGGATGGACGGGACTGTCTCGCCCAGCCTAAGCAAAATGCGGTAGGAAAAAAAGGGGGTAAAGGGGAAAATCCAGCCTATGAGATTCCCCGCCCATTTAACCTCCCCAAAGCCTTTCCATGCCCACAGCGCCCTGTCCTGACTCGCTGCGCTTCGGTTCGGGAGAAGCCTCTTACCCCCCTTCGGCCAGGACTGCGCCAGGACGACTCCTGGCTCGGAAAGCCCGCCGCTGCAGCGGGCTCCTCTCCGCCTACACCGCCGTCCGCTACCAGCCTTCGCTCCGCTCTTTTTCGGAGGGCGGGAAGCTTCTCGCCGTCAGCCTTGTAAGGAAAGTGAAGGAAGGAGGAGGAGTGACCGTCTGTGTCGAGCGAATCGGCCCGCCCTCGTCTCCCCGCTCTTAAAGGGGCGCCACAGGAATGTGCGGGAAAGCCTCTACAGGCTCTTTTTGGCAACGGGCACCAGTCTGTGGAGACCTCAAGGGGGTCTGCTTAGGCTTCAAGGAGAGGACCCTCAGAAATTCCGTACCCTACAGGTCCCTCTTATTAAAACAGCTTGCCTTGAAATGATGTCGGTTACCCTTTTAGCGCCTTTTTTTTCGGTATTAAAACGATTGCCTTCTGCTGGCTCATTTTTGTTTGTATTGCTTCGTTAGTCATCATACAAACATTCGTGCACAGTAAAAAATAAAAAGACACAAAACTGAACTTATAATAAACATACAATCCAAATGTGTCTTGCATTTGTAGCTGAAATATTTTGAATATAACATATTTGCTTGTTTTATATACTGAGATGTGGTTGTGCAGGTCCAAGTTGCCTCCAACTTATGGTGACCCTATGAACGCTCTCCAAAATGTTGGATGCTCAGCAGCCTTGCTCAACTCTTGCAGACTCAGACCGATGGACTCTTTTAGGGAGTCAGCCCATCTCCTGTTTGGTCTTCCTTTTTTCCTGCTGTCCTCCACCTTTCCCAGCATTATTATCTTTTCCAGAGAATCCTGCCTTCTCCTGATCTGCCCCAAATAGGACAGCATCAGCTTCAACATTTTGGCCTTCAACGACTGGTTTGATCTAGGAGCCACTTGTATGTTTTTCTGGCAGTCCAGGGTATCCATAAAGCTCTTCTCCAGCACCACATTATAAGCAAATCAATTTTTTGTCTGTCAGCTTTCTTAACTGTCCAGCTTTCACATCCATACATGGTGATTGGAAATGCAAGGGTGTGGATGGTCTTCTGAGTCTCAGTCTTCTGATTTCTTGGCTGCAATCTCCATTAATAGTGATAATTGAACCAAAGTATACAAAATCTTCAACTATTTCAGTTTACAGAATTGAATACATTCAATTAATACATTCAATTAATACACAATGATCTTTGTCAACCAGGTTGATTGTTTTCTGAGCTGCTCCTATTAATATAAATAAAAAGGGGGAAGTGCACATTCCAGAAACATTTTCATTTTGGCATATTTGTTTGAATTGAATGGAATTTACTAGTTCCACATACCCAGCTACTTGTGAAAGAAATATCTTGCACAGAAAGGCAGACTTTGGGCCCATCATTATTAGTTGCTAAACTGAACGCTGCTGCAGCTACCACAGAACCATAGAATAGTGAAGCTGGAAGGGACCTACAAGGCCATCAAATCCAACCCCCAGCTCGATGCAGGAATACAAATCAAAGGACTTCTACTAAGATGACATGCATTTAGACCCTGTTTTGTCCGTTTTTTGTTGCAGAACAAGTAGAGAGTCAACCTTGAGCCGGCTACCTGGGATTTGAACCCCAGGTCGTGAGCACAGTTTTAGCTGCAGTACAGTGTTTTAACCACTGCGCCACGAGGCTCATTTTGTCCGTTTTTTTGTTGCAGAACAAGTAAACATTAATAAAAATGCCTTCATGCAAACAAAAGCTATTGGTGAAACCACAGTAATTTGTCTTCTCCCATTCACAAAATAAAAGGGAGGGGAATCAAACAGTGAAATTGTAATATGCATAGCTATTGAGAAGTAAGCTCCAGTTAGTTTAACAGGATGTATTCCCAGCTGCTTACATTTAACATTAAAATTGCAAAACTGCTGCTGAGGTGGGCCAGTAGAAGGCAGGCTTGTGATACTATCAGAATATTGTAGCTGCTTTTCATAGGTGAAACTTCCTCACTCAAGTTCCATCACACTATACACTACACAGTTATAATTATTTGAGTGCATTCCTACTGCCCTGGCTCCATCTTACAGAATGTTAGCGTTTGTAATTTGGTAAAGCGTTTTATATTCTCTGTTAGAAAGCTCTAGTGCACCCCCACACCACACTCTTGGCTATGGCTTAGAATGCCAAATAACACACCAAACCACAAATCCCAGGATTGCATAGGATGGAGCTATCAAACTGCTATAACTTTGCAGTGCAGATCCCCTAGACATCAATCTGCAGAATTGGGTTGCCATTTTAGACAGACTGCTTGAAGAAGAAAGATGGGTGTTTACAGAGCAGCAAAATTTGCTTGTATTATTTTTGCAATTATATTATTGTTTAGGCCTGTAGAACTGGGCGAGGAAACTATTATTTATTCATGAATTTAGGACCCGCAATATATTTCAGTCAGATGTTTGAACCTTATTATCATCAAAGGCTGTTCAAACAGGGAATGGCATTTTGTCATTGTTGACTTCTGCTACCATGTGGATCAATGAGAGAAATGCTTGAGAAACTCATTGTCACTAAATGCCGTGCAGGAGTTGATAAACATAATTGCCTTTCCATCATCAATAACTGACAGAACAAAAATGATGGTTGTCTGTGGTTTAAATTAGGTAACAAGAGAAATCCACACAAACTAGACAGAAAGAATTAAAAGAGAAATAAGTCCATATAGTTTTGTATTGAGAAATAAGTCCATATGGTGAAAAAGAGTGTCTTCCTTTGATTATTTGAGATTAATATAAAGAAACAAATTAGAAAGGCCTTAAGCAGTTTGGTATTTTTATACATGACTTGGATGTAAGCATAGAAGAGGTGGTTATATAATTTGTATGTAATAAGGTGTTGGGAAAGCTAGTAACTACAACAGAAAAAATTGAAATTATTATGAGAGGCTAGAACATTGTGGTGAAATCAACATGCCGAAATTTAGTAAAGATAAATGTAAATATCATTTATGTACTAAAAATACAATCCAGAGACACAAATATGAGGTGTCAAAAGAACCTTGATCTGACAGTATTACATGGCTGCTAAAATGCTAATATACTTTTGGCTAGTGGGTGTTGCATACTGCCCCAGTCATGAAAAGGAATCTCACTTTGTTTTGCACTGGACAGGGCTTATTTGGGGGACTTTGACTGTAATGAGTTCCTGTAGTGAGTTCAAGTAGTGATGTATGGAAGTGAGAGCTGGACCATTAAGAAAGCTGACCGCCGAAGAATTGATGCTTTTGAATTGTGGTGCTGGGGGAAACTCTTGAGAGTCCCCTGGACTGCAAGGAGAACAAACCTATCCATTCTGAAGGAAATCAACCCTGAGTGCTCACTGGAAGGACAGATCCTGAAGCTGAGGCTCCAATACTTTGGCATCTCATGAGAAGAGAAGACTCCCTGGAAAATACCCTGATGCTGGGAAAGTGTGAAGGCAAGAGGAGAAGGGGACGACAGAGAACAAGATGGCTGGGCAGTGTCATCGAAGCTACCAACATGAATTTGACACAACTCTGGGAGGCAGTGGAAGAGAGGAGGGCCTGGCATGCTCTGGTCCATGGGGTCACAAAGAGTCGGACACAACTGAACGACTAAACAACAACAACAACAACAAAACAGCCATAGTGCCGTTTAATGCAGTAGTTAATGCAACAGGCCGGGTAACTGGGGCTTGTCAGCCATGGAAGGCAGCCCATCTAGGAGAAGGAAAACTCTGATTTCAAACCTCTGCTGCCTTGCAGCTATATCCACTCATGGAAAAGGCTTCAGGAGTTAACCTCGAGGCAAAATCCGGAGCTGGAGTCCCGAAGGCAGCATGTGTCGTTCTGCCAACTCCTGCGACATTGCTGGAACCAGTTGTATTGGCTCTTGCCTTTCCATTGGACCATTTCAGCAATGTGGAGAGGGGAGATCTGCTGCTTGGGTAACAGCCTATCCTCCATATTACTTTACCCAGGCTTCATGCTCTGGAGAGGACACTCCTCGATTCAGAGCATGTTACCATAGTCTCTCGAGACTGAAGGATGCCTATGATAATGCAACAGACTTAGATGGCAGTCCACTAATAATAATAACTGCTTTCAAATCAGGTTTTCTGTAATTAGAATACTCTCTCACACACCCACACACCCACCCACACACACACCAAATTGATTGTAGCGGTTGTAGTAGATATAGTGTTAGACTAGGTGTCAGTGGCAGAGCCAGAGGTTGGGAGTTGGATTCCTCTCTGTGCCTCCTTGACAGGGGCTGAATTCGATGATCCATAAGAGTCCCTTCCAGCTCTGCATAGATCTAAGATGATGGTGATGATTCTGGAGACTTGCGTTCAAGTCATCAGCCATGGAAACCTACCATAAGTCTGAATCAGCTGGATAACACACAACAATGACAAGATACACAGATGTAAGGAAACAGCAGGACTTATTTCTGAGTAAATTTGCATTAATTCCCACTCTTAGGCTTCACTGAACACTGACGGTGGTACCTTAGTGTATGTGTAAAGTGCAGAACATTAAATAAGAGAGTGCAAATCTGGTAGAGGTGGATAATAAAAACATCTTGGAATGGAGTGGTCGTCCTTTTGTTTTCAACATTAGACCCTACATAGAGGCTCCTCATCTCTCATAGGAAATTGAGTTTTGATTACCTGGAACTTTTCCTGGGATCCTATTGAGACTCAACAAATTGAAAAGGGGGAGGGGTCTAAAGGGGATGATTGTAAAAGGAAAGGAGCAGGGAGAAGCAGGAGAAAGGTATTTGGGGGGGGGAGGTGAGGTGAGTGGGAAATTCGTTTTTTAAACATTGATATAACTGCTTCTTTTTTCCAAATCTCCAAAAAAGCTTTGGGTGGGTGGAGTAAAACAATGGATTAAATTTTCTACTTTTTTTTCTGGTGACATTTTATTATAGTCACCAACTTAAATGGCAATTAAGCATCCACTTAACTGTTAAGAAATTGTCTCCTCCAACTTTTAATTGAATATTGGGGTTCACATAAGGTTAACTAGATGCTTAACATCTTCCTATCTACTTTCCCATCTTTGGTATGGAAATTAAGTTCATCATGGAGGAGAGAAGATTAAAGGGAGGCATGATAGCAAACCTCTAAATGTCAAAAGGGCCGAGAGACAGAAGATAGAACTAACATGCTCTCT